AACTATTAGAATAGGCTGGTGTTTTAAGTGACTGGTCAGAAAATATCTTGATGATTGCTGACATATACTACCTCCTTGTATACATGCAGGACCATTAGACTTATTTTGGCTTCATGCCATTACAGAAATGATTTCTGCTAAAGCATAAGAACAGGCACAGATTATGTGGGCATTATTGTTCCTTGATGTAATAATCCCTCAATTGGAACATATATGATTATGCAGCACAGGCCACCTTCTCCCTCACCTGTATTGAGAGTAAGAAAGCAACAATTGTTATGGAAAGCCACTGGGACTGTAGAGACACTTTTTACCTTCACTATTCCCTAGCTATCCAGAATAATACAAACTTTGGAACTTCAAAACTGGTCCATACATCACATAGTAGAAATATCACTAGCAATTTCTTATGAGATTATATTTAGATATGTTACAGAACTATGAGTGCAATGAGATATGATTTAGCTAACTAGAGTGTTCTCATTGTCACAATTTGACCTCAGTCCTCATAAGTTCTTTCAGTCCTTAGACATTCAAATTAGGCAGGTATCCAGAAACATGTTGTTTTGCCGTTGTAATAATATCCTAATATCTCTTTCATGAATGCCAGAATACCTTTGGACATTAATCCATTCTTGCACCCCAAACTTCAATGCATCATCCAGGTAGACACACCTTCACATGGGGATGACCACCCCACGCCTAGATCATAGTACATTCAGCATTAACAAGGCCCTTGAAGGCAAAGTGTATAAACAACTCATAGAGAGGCATGCCAAGCACAAAAAGGCAGTATAAACAATGCTCATGAGCAGGCTACACTTGTCATTAGCCACTGATGTATGTGAAGTAATCCTGGGAAACAAACACACAGGCAGTTCCAGTGTGAGGAGTGAGATGGGGTTGAACAGAGTGTAAAATATCAGCACAATGTCAACTCGAGCTGTCTTAGTCAGTGTTCTATTGCTTTGGAGAGACACCATGGCCATGGAAACTCTTTAAAAAGAAAGCATTTAATTGGGGTTGGCTTACAGTTTCAGGGGTTTAGTTCATTGTCCTCATGGGCATGAAGAAGCATGGTAGCTCTCAGGCAGACATGGTAGCTGAGATTTCTACACCTGAGTCTTTGTGAAGCAAGAAGAAAAGGACCTCTGAGCCTGTCTTGAACTTCTGAAACCTCAAAGCTCACCCTCAGTGACATACTTCCTCCAACATGGCCACACCTACCCCCCAAAAGGCCACATTTCCCAATTCCTCCCAATTAGTTCCACTCCCTGAAGCATTTAATATATGTAAGCCCACAGGGGCCATTCCTATTCAAACCACCGCACAGAGACAAACCAAGAAAACCCATCAGAGAAGATAGAGTCTGGTTTTGTTATTAGGGAAAAAATGTGTACAACAAAGACATTCTGAGTCCTAGGAAACAGAAGACAAGCCCAACACAGGAAATCCACATGTAACAATTTTAAATTGAATTATGTAAGAATTCAAAATGGAACAGACTCTATTACATTTAATATGATCTATTCCATTCTGGTGGTTGTCATCCTGTGGGTTGTAACTGCTTTGAATGCTGCATATCAGGTATATTGCATAGCAGATATTTGCATTATGATTCATAACAGTAACAAAATTACAGTTATGAAGTAGCAGCTAAATAATTTAATGGTTGGGGGTCACCACAACATTTGGAACTGTATTAAAGGGTTACAGCATTAGGGAGGTTGAAAAATCACTGAAATAGAGAGATGGGATTATAAACAACACATAATTAACAATTAGAATGTGAAGGGGAAAGGTACAGTTTCATTGGTACTTTGGGAAAAAGTAAATGTTCACATGCATCAAGTGTATCTGTTTTAATAATCAGTAAAATTGATTTAGTTTACCTGAGATAAGTGACACATTCCTATAATTCTAGGAGGCACATGGGAAAAACAGGAGTTCAAGGCCATGCTTTTGCACCTCAGTAAGTTCAAGTATAGCCTGGGCTATATACCACTCTGTCTCCCAGACAAATTAAACCAAACCAAAAGGCTTTTTGCATTATTTTCAGCGGAACTTCATTGTAAGTCTGGATATTTAAATTTTATATTATGAGGCTATACTCCTCGAGTCACCATCCATCTCTCTTAATGCACTATAGCTCCAGGGTTTCCCCAATGAACAGAATATGATCAGCATTTATATGGTCAATATGTGTAATCACATGCATAGGATTTTCCCATATATAAACATAATTTTTCTATCTCACCACTCAGAAAGTATATTTAAAATCTAGCTCCATTATCAATGGTGTCATTCAAATGTCTTGATCAATAGTGAAGGTTATCCAAAAGGTAATATTGGTCAAGCAAAGGCATTGGAGTACAGCTAAACTTCAAGCCAAAAAATTTTTTAAAACTACACACTTCTGAAATACTCACATCTTGGCTTACATTTATGTTAGTATTGATAGAACCAAGAAACTATTGGGTGTTGTCAGACAATATTATATATCAGAAGAAGGAAAAGTCTACAACACATTTTTAATAAACTCAGGGTATTTATACATAGTCCAAAATAGCTTTCAACCTGTAGTCCCCTACTTTAGAGTCCCAAGAAATGGAATTATAAGCCTGTACCAAAACATCAAGCCCACAACACTGCTGAAAGGACATAAATCAAGAAAAATAGACTATTAGTCAGAATGACATTGTCAAGAGCACACACACACAAATAATACTGGAAAGAATTGGGCAAAATAAATCTTTGTCCACTGTTGTTGGGAATATAAATTAGGCCAATCTCTAAGGAAATAAAACATGGATCTTCCTAAAAAACATTAGTATAACACTATCATGTGATCTAGTTGTACCATTCCTAGAGATATATCTGAAGGGATCTAAGTTAGGGTACCACAGAACAACTATGTTTATTGCAGTATTATTTACAATAGTCAATTATGTAGCTGGCATGGATGCCCATCAAGAGATTAATGGAAAAAGAAAATTATATTTTTTGGCCACAAAGAAGAATGAAGCCTTGTAATTTGTCCAAAAATGGATGCAACAGGAAATCACCATGTTAAGCAAAATAAGTAAGAATTCAGACAATACAAATATTACATTTTTCCTCGTATGTAGAATCTATAAAAGAAAAAAAGGATGACCAGAAAAAGGGGAACTACACAGAACAGGAAGTAGAACAGGGGTGAAGAAAGGCAGGGTAAAAGAAATGATCAAATTATGTGTGTGCATGAATGAAAACAGCACAAGTGGAATTAATTGGGGAAAGTGTTTTCCTTAGATAAGTTAACATTTAGCGTTTTTGTACATGTCTATGATGCACCAATCTGTGCTTTAGAAAACATTCCTCTAACTAAGCTTAAGTAATGGAAGCTCAGCAGCCCCTACGACCATTTTGATATGATGAGTCTGTTCAGATCAATTTATATATAATTCATAGTTTCATAAAATACTTTAAATACACCTATGTGTGTTGTGGCTTGTGGGTTATGTCATTCGTCCATTTACTCTTTCACTCAGAACACATTTATTGAACTATTATGCAGTTCAGGCAGCCTTCCATGGCTTAGAAGCAACACTGAACAAGCTAAAGGTGTCCTCTGCCACATGAGTTATACATAACACATATGAGAGAGGAGAAGGAGAGAGAGGGGGAGAGGAGAAGGGAGAGGAAGAAGGAGAAGGAGAGAGAGGGAGAGGGAGAGAGAGAGAAGGATGGAGGGAGGGGAAAGGAAGGGAGGAAGAGGGAGTAAATACCATGTGAGAGCTAGATTATTTTAGTCTTGGTGAACTATATAATAGGAATATTGGAAAGAGACTCACAAGTTTTCAGTTTTTAAATAAATGTGGTAAATTTAGGCAAATACATGGAAGAAAACTGAGTCACCCTGGTGAAAAGCACATTTACTTATTATGTCTTCATACCACCCTCTGATCTTGCCAACCTGACAGGCAGAGCCTGGATGCTACATTTATGCCTTGCCTCCTTCATTTTTATTTTTTGCAAGCATTTCTCTTTGTCTTTACTCTTCAGAAATGTAGCTTTGATGTGGAAAACCTTGCATCCTGTATAAAATTAAGTTTTTCATTTTGACAGTGTCTATGATCATAAATCAAATGTATATGCATAAGTAAGTCTTTATCTACACAAAGTGCTGAGTAGAATTACAAGATTGGATGTCATATACATTTTAGGCTTCTTGAAATACATCCTGAAGTGGTTCTTTAGGAAGGTTATATTTTCTCAGTAGTATATTAGCAGTATATAAGATTCTATGTGGATTTAAGATTCTCATCCCAAACTACACATCATTGCTCTTTTCTTTTTCTTTTTTGGTATTCTTTGGTGATATATTAAATTACACATTCTTTTCAGTGGTGAAGTTGATTTTTAAAATATGCTTGCTGGTTCTTCAGCATTTTTCTTTGTGTTATGAAATATTTATGCATGACACACATATTTGCTTTGATTTTGATAATTTATATTAATAATTTTTGACATTTTGACATTAAGAAATATTTTATGCATTCAAACTTGTTTACCTCTTTCTTGTGATTTCTTTTATTATTCTGTTTAGAAAATGTTTCATATCCTAAGATCATTAAAATAAATATATTTTAGTTATTTGGTAAGTGTTTTAAGTTTTATTGGCGGATTTAAATTATGTACATTTATTTTGACAAGATAGTGCCTTAATTTGAACTTTTTCAAAACTACAGCCCATTTTCTAAATGTCGTTTGCTAATAAAATAATAATTTTTCCCTTAGGCATATGATGCTCCATCATCTGTTAGGTTTTACATACATAGGACCTAAATACGCTGTCTAAAAGATTATGCTCTAAATGTGGGAGTGATAGTTTTTTCCTAGGTGTTTACAAATTACAATATTTCTTAGTACGGTATTGCCGGAATGGGTGAGAACAACCTGCGGAGGCATTTAGGACCCAGGGGAAAGCCAGGCTCGGTATAGAAGGACAGAGTCTCTGGCGCACACGCCTCCTACCCAAATCACAGCCCCGTGCAGCCCGGGCTCTCATTCACAGCTTTCTAGAGAAATCTGAGCTCCAACTGCCAGGATAGGGGATCTCACCCACCCAGTTCAGCCGCGAGGACACCTGCAGGAACACATTCTCAAAGCAAGCCTGGGCGGCGGTGTGAAGGTATTTGTTGCCTTTTTCTTCCTTCTGTGTTCTCAGCGCCTCCCCGCCTGTCCCCGCTCTAGCGATGCCATGGCTGCGGCGTTTCAGCACTTAGGCGCGTGGACAGCTCCCATCTGCAATCCCACTGCACTCCATCCCTTCCGCACCCCACTCCCCACCGCCTCCGCGGTCCATCCTCCTGCCACGCTGCCCAGCCTGCGCTCCCCAGCCATCAGCATCCTATCTCCACCATCGCCGTCATCATCTCCACCATCGCCGGCGCGGTAACTACAGTCCACACAACTGTGTCTTGTCACTTAAACAAAGCCTGAGGTCCGCAAAATAGAAGGGAAAGAGCTCAAGTTCACAGGCATAGAAGGGAAAGTTCAGGTGGAGAGACCCCTGAAAACAAAGAGAGGCGCCTGCTTGAGAGAAAGGGAAAGTGGAGGCAGCAGGCAGAGACCCCAGAAAGAGGACAGATGGGGACTTGCCAGACACCAGCAGTTAGCCAGCTGCCTTTCAGCAGATTAGAGACTGTTTAGTTCAGGAAATTAACATGGCCTGAGGCATAGTGTGATTCCAGGAAGAAATGTTAGCTCAGCCCCAATATTCTGGTTTTCCAATGGAGAGTCAGCAGGAAGCAGGGTGGGGGTGATGGGTGACTCACAGCACCCACATGGCTGTTTTTCTTCCTAAGCATTTACCGTAGAAACTCTGGAATTAAGTTTTTTTTAAATGTTCTATAAAATGAAAACCCCAAAGGTTAACTCCGTGGCCAAAATGAAAATTAAAAAGATGATAGCAAGAACATAATAAATAAACCTTTCACCAGGAAATTATATTTACTAAAATGTGTCTTCTTGTACACTTATTTCAATTTCCCAATCTTAAACCTCTCTTGGAAAGAGAACAGATATATCCCTTGCCCAAATGGCCAAAGTGGTAATGATATTCTGAGCAGATGGCCTGGCTTTGTTCATTACTAGTCAAGGGCTGGCTCAGATTTGGGAGGCGAGGTTTTCGTGAGCTTTTTCAGTAATCAGGCAATAACACCATTTTCCTAGAATAGTAAAGGGTAATAGAGTGCAGAAATTGAAAAGGCATTTTATGTAACTGTGGTTTGCCTGACTCTGCTTTACAGTGCTATCATCTTCCATCAAAGCTGATGGGCAGTGGGAACATCTTTTCAAACAGCTCATTAATTTGGACCTGATGGTCTAGTCCCAGGTCATGGCACCTATTTGATTCAACCAGGATCATTTGCTTTGTAAGAGGTAATCAACAACAGCAAATAAGTGCTTGCGCCTGCCATAAATGTGTTGAAAGGGACTCTTTGATTTGATTGTACTGAACTGCAAAGTATTGTAGTTTCTTTTGTTGCTGCCATTGTTCTTGCAAGTTGTTGTGTTTTTGTAAAATTGGCATCTTAATTTACATGTGCTGCATCTAGAAATGTTTTCAGGTCACTGGTCACTTGGTTTAAACCAAGGCACAGAAAGCCCCACTTGACACTACCCTTGTGCATTCTATTGCCTCTTGGAAAAGGGACAGTGAAGCAAGTTCTGTTCTTGCTCATCTTTAGAGGCACCACCCAAAGTAAAGAGAACCACAAACAGATAGGTTCTGGAAGAAGCTTTGTGCAAAAATTCATGCTCAACAATCTTCATGAATGAGGAACAGCAGCACCATGCAAAGCTTGCTTACTGTTACTAATTTTATGAACTTAAAAAGCACAGTTCTATTTGCTTCTAAATTTTACTCATTTTTAAACACAAACCAAGAAAATCAGTGGAAATACTTGGCAAAATATATTGCATTTAGTCACCTACTACTCTCCTCAGACTGGTAATTTGCACAACCAACAAGAGATCTCAAGTCTCTGGGAAAAAGACTTCCTAAAGCGCCCTTATCTATGTGCAAAGAATGGTCCAGACCAGGAGGCTGAAAACTATGTACATGTTGCCAATTTGAGCTGCTTCACCAGAAACACAGGCCCGGAATGCAAAGCCTCCAGAGCCACTGTCTGCCTGTGCTTAATACAGTTCCCTGAGACTGGGAAGATTGCAGAGCTGCGCTGCTTCAGGGAGATTTGCAGTTACCTGTCTCTAAAGCAATGCTTCTCCCTGTCTGAAATGTTATGCTGAGCTCATTAATTTTTATTTTGTGATACTATTGAGGCTTCCACACTTATTTCTTTTAGTTAGAGTTATTCATCCTTCATATTGATAATAACAAAACTTGCTCATTTAAAAACGAATTTAAAGGTAAACAGAAACATTTTTTCAGCATAGTGCCCTTTCTGTAGACACACTTCCAGAAGGTGAAGGGAACAGCATTTTAGAATCTGTGTACACAGCTGGAAGGCTCATCTTCTAAAAGATGAAATCTTGAACTGTTAGAACTGGTTATGCCTGCCTGCATCTTTGGGCATCGACAAGAGAGGCACCCTATTATCTCTGAGACATCTGCCTCTGACTTCAACAACTCCCTTGTTGCAAAGCTGGCTTCCTTAAATGGACTCTGGCTGGCTTTGATCTTCTCTGCTGTTGTGACACTGTGACTTGCATTGAGGATGTGACAAGCAGCATGAGGGGATTAAAAGCTTGTATATATGTATAAACCCAGAAAAGCCCTCAGGGTCATCAAGAGAGCTGGCCCTTCCTTCCTTTTGCATCCTCTCCCAAATAGCTATTGTTCTGATCATTATCACTCATTTCCAGATTTCACTGGAATAAGGAAGGCTTCACAAGGTGGCCACAGTGTGAATCACCACAAGTCTGCAACCCTCATAGGCTGAGTGCTGTATCTCTCTAGATAATCCAAGTTTTACTTAGCTTAAAGGAAGTTCATATTCTGTCTGGCTAAACCAACTGGCCAGATACTGTCTGCCCCATGAAGAACCCTTGTGTGTTCAGATGTGAGTTCATTATTCCCCACCTCCCCTTCGTTTTCTCTATCAGGTTGTCCTGTGCTGTTTTCTTTCTATGAACTTGCTCTATGTCAGGAAATATTATGGAAAGTATTTTACAGTTTTAGGAGAGACAAGGACAAATTTGTGGGTCAAGGGATGGTCGAGGGGCTCAAGTTACAAGCTACATAAGCAAACTTCTCAAAATGGAGTCACTTGACATTCCCCCCCATACTTCCTTTTTCTTTCATTCTCTTTCTTTCTCCCTCTCTCTTCTTTCCCCTCTCCTTCCCTCTCTCCCTTCCTATTTCTCTTCCTTCTCTTCCCTTTGCTTCTATCTGAGATCTCTCTTCTCTTTCCTTTCTTCCCCTTTCCTTCTTTTTAGATGCTATATAGTATGCAAGCATGTGTGGGTATAATTCATAGGGTGATACAATTACCTGCCATGGGTTCAACTGCACATGGAAATGGATACCCTAGTGATGTGCTCATTCTTCTATTAACAACATTGTACTCCTGAAAACAGGCTGAGATTTGCTTTGGGGCAGGTCATTCACCTCAGCACTTTGGAGTCATTGCTTCTCAAGTCTGGTTTTATTGCTTAGTCAGTGGGTCAGAAGTGCATCTCAGCTGTCTGTGTTCCCAATAACCTGTGAAATTCTAAGGCTGCTACTGGTTGATAGGCTACTTTTGGTCAAATTCTTGATTGATACATAGTAGTTATGCATATTTTGGGACACAGTGTAATCTTTCAATGAAGGTATATAATGTGCAATGATCAAAGTGGGTTAATTATGAGTTATTTGTGTTGAGAAACTTCCTGCACTTCTGCTGACTTTATATATATATAGTCACTGTAAGATATAATTGTCCCACTCTGGAACACTGAAACTTGTTGCTCTGATTTAACAATATTCTGGTACTTGTCTCACTTCTCCCTGTCACCTATTCCTCCTCCTCTTTCCAGACTTAATTACTATTCTCTTCTATCAAATCAATGTTTTTGTCCCTTATATGTAAGGGAGAGCAGGGCATTTTTTTTCTGTGCACTGACTTATTTCACTTAACTTTATGACTGGTGCTCTCTTGAAGAAGGACAAACAAAAGTTACCACCTTATTTAAATTTTGTTCCTTCAAGTGTAATTAGTTATGAAGTTTAATGGAAACAAAATACAAACCATTCCACCTTCTGAGATAAGGCGAGCTCAACAATCACAAGTTCAGTCGAGGGAAAGTCATGGGAGTTCTTCTTTCCTCCCACCTGACCCCAAAGAAACCTTCTCCATTCTATTTTTTCCTGGGAGTTTTCTTCATTCTGATCCTTGCTGCAGCCATTGTTGCCCCAACCATATCCTCAAGAAGAGTCCCAGTTACATAGATGTCCTGGGGGAAAAGTGAGAAGGCGAATTTGGGGAGCCTCCAGATTCTTTTTTTCAAATAATGGAGTTTATATTCGGGAAAATATCTTATTCTTCTGAGGATCAAATAGCCAAGTATTTGACCCTCAATCTTCCTCTCCCAAAGATGTGCCTACCAAATCTGATCCACTTTGGACATAGGAGTGCCAACTGCTTCTCCCTTCTTATGGCAATAGAGAGACATCCTATGAAGATATATCAGTCTAGTTTTCCACATTTTTATAGCCTTCTACCCCATGCACTGTCTTTCCACAAGATACACTAATGAAAAAGTTACTCTAGTGAAAAATTTCTACCCTAACCCAGCAGAGAGGCAGAAGGATATTCTGCTGTTTCCAGCTTGCCCATCCCCCTTTTGCATTGTCACACAGCAAGCTAAAATTATAAAAGACTGCAGAGTGTTGTTCTAGATCTCAGGATTTAACTGTTTGCCAAATAGCCCCAATGTACCTAAGGCCTAGTCCATCTTCACTTCAATCTGGCATCTATTTTGGGTAAGAAGTTCTCCTTGTCTCCACATTGATGGAACTCATTGCAATTTACTTTTAACCTTTCTCAAGAGCAGGAGCAAATGGAAGCACATGACAATGTGTTTGGTTGCTATTTTAAAAGGATTCAAAGGAGCCGACATAATGAATATTTATGGGGCAGGAGAAAGCCCTGGGTTAGGGCTAAGGTAAAGGTGATGGAATGT